TTATTAAGTTTGGCCTAAGGCTAGCCCAATTCCAGTATACTAAAGACATCACATTTTAAAATATATCTGAAAGCAGTTTCCACACTTTGCCAAGAAAGCCCTTTTTGCTACTACAAGTAGATGGAAGAAATAGAAAATGTATTCCATTTCCTCAGAAAAATTGCAGCTTACTTGGAAAGTAGTGTGTGCAGTATAAAATCGGGATCACCACACGTAGTAATGGAAATTGCCCCTAAAACTGTGCACAGTACATCCCGTATGACCGTATACAGTGGCACTGTACAGAGGCCTTTAAGTAAGGCAGCAAGTCCCTTTCAGTCTAGGGTTAACTGCTTCCAAGACAGAAACATCACGGCAAAAGTGAGTGGTGGGGAAAAGCTAGCCACTTCATGGCAGCCAGGAAGCTGGGAAGACAAGACCCCTAGAAAAAGGGACCAGGAACCAGATAAAGGCCCCAAAGTCACACTCCCATGACCCACACAGACACACTCAGAAGCGCGCTTACTAATTTCCCAGACATCTCTCAAGCCATCAAGTTGGCAGTCAAGATTAAGCATCTCGGAAGCCATTCCCCAAATTGCATTCTATAGAAAAATAATTCTTCAAGGCTTTAATCACGATTGTACACTCAACAGTGTATTGGATTAAGAAGTTTGAAAAATGTCAAGTCTAAATAGCCCTTTCCTACAGATGTCTCAGAGCCTTTAGAATGTTAACATGTGAAGAAGTGTAGAATGAAGTATTTCCTGAATATGCATGTGGTGGGATTATGTGCCCCAGAAGATACATTTTGAGAAAAACTAGCTCAGTGCAAAATGAAAAGCAGGCATGCTTCCCTTTTCAAAGCTTGTCTATGTTTCATTCAGCAAATCATTATTGAGCATCTACTGTGTGCCAGGCACTGTACCAGGTATTGGCAAAAATACCAGCAATGAACTACATAGTCAAGTTCCATATTTTTTTTGCTTATAAAACTTTGTTAAGATAAAGGTTGAGGTTATAAGGACATAAAGGCAAAAAGACTTTAGCCCAACCTTCTAAATGTTCATGATTTAGGGGAGGTGGGGATCCACCAATAATTTGTGTATAATAGCGTAAGGGCTGAAATGGATAGCATTGCAAAGTCAAATGGAAGCATCTAGAAAGAGGGCTACACTTGGGTAGAGTGGAGAGTGTTAAGAGGAGGCTTCACAGTAAAGGATGCAAATAAACTGAGCCTTCAAACATGAGGAAACAAAACCTCCCAAAATGAAGTGATTGTAAAGACACATGACTTAGTAGAACCAGCTACAGAAGAGAAAAAGTAGGACCCCACATCTTACACTGGAAGAAGAGAAACAGCTCCACTGACTTCTCTAGGGTGCTTCAGGGGAGCTTTGGGCCCTTGTAGAGTTAAAACCGTGAAGAGGGGTAGATGTGAGCCAGCCCTCCTCTGTGTGGTAGCTCTGCATTTGAGCATCTGGAGAGCTCTGTGCGGAGTGAGCTGCTCAAAAGCTCACTGGTCTTAGCCAAAGAACCATTGTGTTTCCAAGGTGTGTTTCCCGGCAAGGCAGATTACACCTTCCACTCGAAGAGAGAAGCTGGGATGGATGCCAAACCCACTGCAAGCCACTCTGGTCCTTAAAATGGTGCTTACAGGGACTGGAAAATATAAACTGGATCAGTCACTCAAGACAGAAGAGCAATCATAACTGTAAAATTCCCATTCAGTTCTGTCCAATCAGCAGTAACAAAGGGACTGATCTTTGTCAACTCTGACACCAGCCAATTTTTATATATATATACACACACATATCATGTGTACTACTCAGTAAATTATTACAAAATGAGTGCCCCCAAGTAATCAGCACCCAGATCAAAACAATAGACAATAAACAACAGTACAGAAGCCTTCCCCCCACCCGATACACACATTTCTTTCTAGTCACTCTCCCAAGAATATCCACAACCTTTACTTCTAAAAGTATGAATTAGTTTTATCCATCTTATATTCCAGAGGAATGGATCAGTGGTGTGCACTATTGGATGGGACCCTCTTTGTCACTCTGTTTATGAAAGTCTTTTGTGTTGTTACGTATGGTAGTACATTACTCATCCTCAATGCACAGAACTTCACCTAGCATTTATTCAGCTATGCTACTGTCAGTGGACATTTGGGTAGTTTCCATTTTCTTGGCTGTTACAAATTGTGTTACTGTAAGCATTTTAGTCCACTGCTTTTGGTGAGCATATATATATATATATATATATATATATATATATATATATATATATATATATATATATATATATATATATATATATATATATATGAATTTATTTTGGATATATAACCAGCAGTGGAATTTCTGTATCATGCGATATGTGTAACAAATATTGTTATTACACATGCCAACAGATATTGCTGAACAGTTTATTCGCAGTTGTTTTACCAGTTTAATCAATAGCATTCCAACTGAACTATGACTTTGATATGGAAGTGGTATTGCATTGTAACTATAATCTGCATAAACTGAGTGACCAGTGAAATGTATGATTTTTTTATATTTGTCACTTGGATACCCTCTTTTATGCATTACCTGTTCATCTGTCCTGTTCACTTGCCTGGTAGGCTCTGTCCTTTCCATATTGACTTGTAGGGGTTTGGGTGTATTTTTTATATGAGTCTTTGTGGATAGGCATGTTTGGTGGGCTTCCTTCTCACCTTAATGTCACTGGTGATGGATGGGCATCCTCAATCTTAATATATTCTGATTCATTGAATGTTCACCTTTTACAGGTAACAAATGTTGTGTTCCATTTTAAAGAATTTTTTTTCCTTTTCTAAGGTCTTAGATATTTTCTGTTGTTGTCTTCTAAAACTTTTATATTTCCCTTCATACTTAGGTCTATAAATTATGTGGAATGAATGTTTTTTATGAAGTGAGGTTAGGGTCAAAATACGTTTTTTCTGCATATTTACCTAAATCTCAACTGACAAGTTTTAATACATAGACAAGAACAGCAAATCTTTTGTTAAAGAAGCTGGCATAGGATAAGGAAGAAATTCTGTTAACAACAAACATACCATTAGACAGAAAAAGAAGGCTTTTCATATGATTGTGCAGAGAACCTTGTGTGGAAGTCCTTGAAGATGAAGCTAACATGATCCAGTATTCCCACTTTGGCTGCATGACCACTGGAAATGAAATCAACATCCTGAGGAGATACCTACATTCTCATGTTCACAGCAGCATTCTTCATAAGAGCCAAATTGTAGAAAGAGTGTCTGTAAATGGATGATGAGATTAACAAAATGTGGGAAATACGTGCACGCGCACACACGCACACACACTCACTGTAATGTTATCCAACCTTTAAGGAAAAAAAAATTCTGCTCTTTGTGACAACATGGATGAGCCTGAAGCCTGAAGTTTTTAAAAACTAGGCACAGAAAAACAAACAGTTTATGTGCTCATTTATATGTGGAATCTAAAATACCCACCTTAGAGGCACAGGGAGTGCAAGGGTGGTTGAACAAGACTGGAGTATGAGGAAACTGGGGAGGGGTTGGTCTAAGGCTCAAGCTTTGCACTATAAGACAAATAAATTCTGGTGAATCAAATCTGCAGGTTGGTGAATATACCTAATAATGCTAAATTGTACACTTGGACTTTCTTAAAACAGGAGATTTTAAGTGATCTTACAACACACACACACAATAGTAACTGTGCAAGTTGATCAAAGTGTTAATTAGCTTGATTATGGCAATCATTTTATAAATTTTTTACATAGAACAAATCATGCTGTTGTATACCTTTAAATGTCTATTTGTCCATTATATTTCAATAAAGTGGAGATATAAATTTTAAAAAGGAGATGAGGCTAAGTGTATCTTTCTAATCTAATGATCTGCCTGCCGGCTCCCACACAGGCCTAAAACCCAAATACTAATGGCAGGTGCTTTATCACAACATGCTGTGGTATGCCACCATGCGTTTGGAAATCCTTTTCTCTGCCTAGGATCCCTTTGCTGTCTCTCATTCACCTCCTGCTACTGCACAACTCTCTCTCACACTCTATCATCTAAAAAGAGTTCCCTGATTCTTTTCCTCTCACAGTTAGCTTCCCCCACATTTTACTGTTTCTGTGGTAGCATCTTAGCCTGTCTTAGTTACGTTAGTGCCTCACTTCCAGCAGACCATGGACTCTTTCAATGCAGATACTGTGGTTTATCTTGGAATCCCCACCATTTAGCATAGGCCCCAGCTCATATAAGAACTCTACGTTTTGACTTGATTAAGTGAGTCAGAATAGTAGTAACTCCATCAACAGATACACTGGACTACAGAGACAAGACTATGATATGCTGTAGAAAGTAGAAAAGACATTAAATATAAGCTTCCCATAATATCTCCATTTATTTATTGACTATTTGTTTATTTAGGTTTTTGAGACAGGGTCTCATTACATGGCACAGGCTGACCTTGAACTCACTATGTAGTCTTCTAGTCTGGCCTCAAACTCACAGTGATCCTCTTGTCTCAGCTTCTCAGGTGCTGGGATTACAGGCATGTGCCACCATGCCTAGCACCCTTTTTAGATAGGGAAAGAACTAAGACAGACAGGAGAGGGATTACAGAGGTAAAAGAGGAAAAGAAGAAAAGAAGGAAACATTTGTTTTTATCAAGGATGAAGTAACTAGTATTGGGCTAGTCCACCCAAAACTTTGATATAAAACTGAAGAAAATATTAAAGATAATTATTTTTAAATGAAAAAACACCACACAGAAGTATAAGAAAGAAGGGATGCGTATGAGAAAGTCTCCTGTTTAGTCTGCTTTCTGTATGGGGAGAGTCTCCTGACAATGGCTAGAGAAGGTGAAGCCACAACAAGCATGATGGTCGTGCTGAGAAGAGGAACGAGAGATGAGCTTGAGACTGATGAAGCTGCTGGAACTTCAGGCCGGGGTTCTAAACAGGAAGCCCCTTCATAAAGAGAGGGGTTCTAGAAGTTTCTATGGAGAAGCTCGGGTCAAAATTGTGTTACCTTAAACAAGATAAGACTACACGAGGCAAAGGAAAGAACAATTTCTATGGCATTGGTGGATTGGAGCTATTCAAGGTCACACAGTAAGTTGTCAAAATAAAACTTAACAGTCTTTAAAAGAAGACAATGTAATTCAAATGTCCAAAAGTACACAACTGATCATGCCCAGCATACTATAAAAAATTACAACATGTGAAGAGTTGGGAAAATGTGACCTACAATCAAGAAGAAATTCATCTAAAGGAAAAGGCAAGGTGCTGACCCAGATGCTAGAATAACAGGTAAGGACATTAAATTTTCTATTACAAACATATTCAAATACTTAAATGAAATGTGTTAATAAATAGGTGAAGAATCTTGGAGGAAAATAGAAGCTATCCAAAGAATTAAGTGGAAATTTCCTAACTAAAAAGCACATTTATATGAAATGTAAAATTTACTGTATAGGCTGAACTACACATGGTAGAAAAAACCATCACTGACTTTTAAAACAGACTATCAGAACACAGTGGTGCACACCCATAATCCCAGCATGCCCGGAGGCTGAGGCAGGAGGTCATAAGTTTGAAACCAACCTGGATAATTTAGTGCCTTTGCGAGAGTCTGTCTCAAAATAAAAAGTTAAAAAGGAGCTGGGGACGTAGCTCAGTGGAAAGGATTTGTGTTTGACCCCAGCCCCAACCCCAGCCCCTCAAAAAAAAAGGAAATGCAGTAATTCCATAAGAAGATGACATGTTTTTTAACAGATTTTAAAAATTAACAGAATTTCAGTGATTCATGGGAAAACAGCAAGCAATGTGATGTGGCACATGTGTGACAGGAGCACCAGAAAGGAAGGAGAGACTGAAAAGGGGGGAGAGAGGTTATTTTATTAAAAAAGTAATGGTGTGAAATTTACCAAGTTGCATGAAAAACAGCCCAGCAAACCCTATAAAAAGAGATACAAGAATGAGGGAAATTATACTTGAACTCCTGAAAATAAAAAATAATATCTTAAAATAGCTGGAGAAAAAAATGGCACATTATATAAAGAGGAGTAATGATTTCTCTTAGCCAATTTCTTATAAAATAAAAACAATGGCTGCCAGAGGACAAATAGAACATTTTCAGAGTTCTGAGGAAAAAAAGTTGACAATCCAAACTTTTATATCCAACAATGTGTATCTTTTTAAAATTAGGATTAAAATAAAGATTGCCACATAAATGACAGAATTTTTCCGAAACAGATCAGTGTTGCAAGAAACAAGGAAAATTCTTTGAGCTGAGCGAGCAGGATCCACACACAAGCTGGAGGAACGAAATGGTGACTATGAGGTTAAATATAAAAGACATTATTTTCTTCTCTTAATTTCCTTAGAAGAGAGAGGGAAGAAGGAATAGAGTGGTGAAGTGAAAAACCATATACAGTCAGAGTGTAGAACCCAATCTCGGCTCTGACACCTATAAACTCTGTGATCACGCACAAGTTCTTTAACTTCTCTGAACCATTTGCTTCCTTCCATTACTAAGTTAGTAACCCTTACCTTTGTGGGGTTGTGTTGTGGTTTAGATCAAAAATGGCCCCCATTATGCGTTTGATGTGAACGGATTACAAGGATGCTAAATCTGACTTGCTGCTAAAGGGTAAGGTCTGGTTGGAGGAGGTGGGTCACTGGGGGTGAGACCTGGAAGGGTCCATCTCTCCTTTCGGCTCTGCTTCCAGGCTGCCAGGCGGGGTGCAGCTTTCCACCACTCAGGTCCTTCCACTGTGCTGCTGACATGTGAGGACTGAAACTTCCAAAATGTGAATGAACATAAACCACTCCTCCTTTAATTTGCAGGTGTCAGGTATTTTGTCTCTGCAGCAAGGAAAGTGATTAAGATGGGCTGTTTTTCAAAACGGGAAGAATTACATGAAGAACTTAGCACAGTGTCTGGGGCATGGGAGGCACTCAGAGAAAGGAGCCGTTCCTTTGGAGGAAGTTGCAAGCTGAGTAAGAAAAATCAGCGATTAACATTCAGGCTGGAGCTGTATCTCAGGGATAGAGTGCTTGCCTGGCATGCAAACCCTGGATTCAATTCCCGGCTACACATACACACACACACACACACACACACACACACACACACACACAGAGTTTGGAATTGTCTTTAACTCAAGAGTATCTACAGTTTTAATAACCTTTATTTTTCACTGCTCTTACTAGAATAAAAATAACAGATGCTCATGTTATGGACATTGGCTTGATCATCTTAGGTTTATATATGCAGAGACATTAAATTTCAGAGCCATCCATCATTTCAAGTATTGCAAATCCTAGCACTGTATATTTCATATTAAAATCTCCAGAAAATGTGTGCCTCAGATGCAAATGATTTTACAGTATGCATGAACTTTTGTCAATATGACCAAAACAGCAGAGTGTTCCATACTATTTCCCAAACCTCTGTTCCCTTGCCTGCCACCTTTAAAAGTGTTACCTCATTTACTTAACATACTTTAGCTTCCAAAGGCATCTTGGGGAACTATTATATATGGAAAGTCTCTTTGCTTTCTTATTACTGATCAGACAAAGAAAATAATTACTTGAAAACAGAATAAAAGCAAGGCAGTGTTGTTGCAATCTAGCTACAAACTATTGCTTTCCAGGAGCTCTGTCTTTGCAAGAAAGAGAAAAGAGATTGGAAGCAAATGATGACCAGATGTTGTAGAAGGGTTAAAAATACTCCAGTACCTGAGACTTTCTCCTTATTGGAATCCAATCCTAAAGAATGAAACAACTACAAGAAGGAAAGCATTCTCAATGTGCAATTTAATGTTATTAATGCACTGTTTTTAAAATTTTAGTCCCTCATATAAAAACAGTGGACATAATAATAGCAGGTACCTTACAGGTTTGAGGTAAAGGATAGGCAAAACAATATATGTGGGTTTCTTAACACACTGCCAGGCACATGGATAATATTCAGAAATAGTTCAGCTATGAATTAAGACACTATATACACACTCCTTCTTCTTCTCCATGAGGAAACACAGAGAAGATCTTAGTCATTTACCTTTTTACAAGCATTTTGGAATTGGACAGGCACCGCCTTAAGGAGGAAGTCACTGACATCTACAGCTTTAACTTATTAGTGGGCATTTTATTTTGAAATTTCTGGGCTAAACATACAAAGTTAGTTACCAAAAGCCATTTAAAGCTAGCATTTCCTTCCCCCAGGTTTCTTCATGAGTCTGCTCTGCTCCTCTCCTTGTGAGGAGAGATATTTATCTTCTACTTTCTCTGTGTCTCTGTCTCCTCCCAACCTGCCCTCCACTTCTCTCCTTCATCTCTTCTCTCCTCTCCTTTCCTCTCCTCTCTTTCCTGTGTCTGTCTCCATCTCTCCCTCCCTCTCTCAAACCATCACCTGAGTGAACATTCAGCTGATACTAGTGCATTTTAGAGTCATTTAAAGATAGAAAGTCCTACATCTATCTTATTTTCCAAATATTTCACATCAGGGAAGACTACATGACGCTGGTCATCCCTCAAGTTTAATAATGCAGTCTTTGTGTCTACTGAAAATCATTTTCAGCAGCAACATAAAGAAAGCTTACCAATAAATTTGAATTTAGAAATACTTCAAAAATAGAACTATAAACTTCTAGAAATGATGATGTATTTACTTCTGATGAACGAATCTAAAGCTCATGACATTAATATTGTATCTTTTTCTTCTACTGACATATGCTGTTAATTAATTGCACTTTTGCTATCAGAAACAAATAAAAAACAAACAACATAAAAAAGAGTATTGTCAAATCCTCACCATCCATCAAACACAATGTTTTTCACTTTCATCAGATATTTACCATCCATCAAATATGTTAATATTTATGGAGTATTTATGGAAGAAATCTGCTAGAATAAATAAATAATAAAGCTAATATCTTCTTTAAAAATAAATCAAGAAACTTATCATAAAGTTCCCCATAATTTACTGAAGCAATAAAACAAGAACAGAAAAGCAGTAAGTAGACAGGATTGTTTCCATTATTCAGGATGTCTAACTACCCACAAAATATTTTTTTCTTAACCATCAAAGAAAATGTTTTGCAAGCTTCATCTGCCAGTAATCTTTTTATCAGTCTCTGTAAGGCCGTAAGTGAGTAGATATACATAGAAATCCATGTTGAGAGCTTTTCTTTTCCTCTGATTTGATCCTGAGTTGTTATATATATGATTACTCAAAATTATATTTGCTATATTCCAAACTGAGACTGATTTTTTATTTTTTCATTATTTTGTCAAGTTTTAGTACTAAAATTATGAAAATTTCCTGAAATTCATTGAAATGTTATTTAAATTTCTATGTAATACATTGACTGATTATTCTCTAGCTTTATCTAAGTGATATAAATCCTTATGTTGGTCAAAAATTCCTAAAAGAAGGAGAGAAAATAAAATATTTATATTTTTGCATGCAAGATAAAATAAATACAAGTAGTAAAAGTCTTTGATGCAAACAATTTTTCTATAGTACACTAGTGATAAAAGAATAAAAGTATTTCACTGTATACCACCAGACCAAGGCTCTGGTTAATTTTATTTTTTCCTTTCTTTGATTGAAAAATATAATTTCTCTTCCTCTGAATTATTCAAGTCTGTTTCAGGGGTAATCACATTCCTGGGAATAAGGAATTAACTTTCTGTTCAAATAGCAAATATTTCAAACCTCCATCATAATAACTTACTACACCAGTTGAAGAGTTAATATGCTTGGATGAACTGAAGTTTGTGAGTCATATAGGTGGAAAAAATGATCACACTTTGATCCAAAATGGTCACTTTGTAAACACAGATTATGTGCACATTGCTGAGAAAGAGCAGTAATATTAATACTAGCCAGTACTAACTTTGTTTTTGTTTGGGATTTTAGACATTAATTAGAACTTGCCAAATTATTTTACAAATGCTTTGGCCTAATTATATTGACTTGAGTAAACGGTGGATTTTGCAGGTTTTTTCTTGTGTCAAAACTTTACTAGCAAAAAAAAAAAAAAAAAAAAAAAAAATTTTTAAAAAAAGGGGCTGGGGATTTAGCTCAGCGGCAAAAGCGCCTGCCTGGCAAGCGCAAGGTGGTGAGTTCGGTTCCCAGTACCGGAGGAAAAAAAAAAAAAAAAAACTTTACTAGCATTAAGTATTTAAAGTGAGTTTCTTATAGACACCATGTATGGGATAGTATTTTTAATCATTTCTATCCATTTTTATCCTTTAATTGATACATTTGGATCATTTGTATTTCAGGTAATTATTGATATATGGCTTAAGCATGTCCCAAATATGTTTGTGAGAGTCATTTCAAGATATTGATGGAAGATGAAAGATTAAGGGAAATGGTTTTTCTTACCAGTCAGATAACAACTTCAGGCTGAGTGATAAGTCACACTGTAACATTCACCAACAGAACAGCCTTCACCTGCCCACACCCTGACTTCACACTCTTAGCTTATATGAGATGCTTCAAGAAATGTAAATGTGGAGTGCAAGTGTAGCTCAGTGGTAACCCTCTTGCCTAGCTGCTTAAGGTCCTGGGTTTAATCCCTAGTACTGAAAAACAAAGAAATTAAAAACACACTAAATAAACACACTACATTTATTATAGGAAAATATTTTATAATATATTATTCACTGTATTCAATATTGCCTTTATAAATTGCAAGCTAAAATTTTGTGTTATCCCTCCCAAGAAAGTTTCATGTCTCCTGAGAAATACAGATGTTTTTAATGTACAAAATGATTTAAGAAGTAGTATTGTTTCCCTTTTTGTTTTGGCCTCCAGGAGGCTCAACATTAAATTCTTAACCTTAAAATTATAGCCTTATAATTGATTTTCCATCCTTACCCTTTATGTTACTGCAGTTTTATACTTTACTTCCTGTGTTATAAATGCCATAATTTGGTTATTATTGTTGTTTTAAACAACCAATAATATTTTACATATACTCACATATGTCCCATTTTGAGAATATTTGTTATTTCTTACAATTCCAACCTTTTAATTGGAAACATTTCCCTTCAGTCTAAGTAATGTGTTTCTTCTTTCATCTGTTGATGAACATGTGAATTGTGTCTAGATTCAGGTTATTATAAATAAATCTGCCATGAATTTCTCTTAAAGTACCTATTCTTTTTCCCTTGGGTAAACATATGAGAGTGGAATTATTGAATTTTATGATTAGCAACTGTATATTTAATATATACGGAAGTATTAACATGTTTTCCAGTGTTTACATTCATGTTGGCATATGAGAATTTCACTTGTACTACATCCACACCAACCATTGATAGTGTTAGTCTTTTAAATTTTAACCATTCTGAGTGAGTAGTGGTTTTGATTAGTATTTTCTTAATAACTAAAAAAGTTGAATAGCTTCTCATGTGTCTACTGGTCATGTGCATGTATATTTTTGTGAAATATATGTTAAAATATTTTACCCACTTTTTTGGGTTGTGAATTAAAAGAGTTCTTTATGTATTCTGGACCCAAGTTCTTTGCCAGATGTATCATGACTACTTTCTTTCAGTCTGTAGCTTTTCATTTCACTCTTATAATAGTATATTTTGGAAGAAAGTTTTCATTCACTTTTGAACAGTGTGAAATGATAAAGTGGCAGATATGTTTTTCCTGCCCACATATTAAAAAATGCCATTCTATTGTCTTTCAACTTCCATAGCTTTGATCAATATGTCGGTCATAACTCATGTTGCCATTGTAAGGTGTGTTTTTTCACTGTGCCTACTTGTGAGAGTTTTCTTTGGCTGGTTGTTTGGTTTCAGCAGACTGACTATAGTGTATCAAGGTGTTATTTTCATTATAGCTATCCTTTAGGGGTACGTGAACTTCTGTAGGTGGACTTTTTTTGCAGAAAAGAGTTTATTGATACACTACAAGAGAGTAATAGCTGCACTCCAAGACAGGAATGCACAGAAGGGAGAAAAAGTGAGGAACTTCATGTGTGATTTTAATATGAGGAGGGAGTATGGAAACACCATCTTAAAATTCTCTCTTCAGTTCCTGGTGGTTTCATTGTCCAGCTACCTCAGTTTTGGGGACAACAAGGTGTTGTTTCAAAACTAAGTAGTGTTTTCTTTGACAGGGATTAGTGCCATTGGCATTGCTGGAAACAGTCCTTCTGAATAAAATTAGCTTAAGGTTAGTAATCAAGGGGATAAAAATAAACTATAAATGTTTGTACTTGAAAGGGACTTTTGATGTTACTGTGAGATAGAGAAGAAATGACATTTTTTATGATACGACAAGCAGTTGGATCACTGACTGATGTATCATAGTTCTTCCATGTAACTTACAGGATAGAAGGTTAGTGTTCTACTACAGACTTATCATTCAGCTGTAATGTGGCTTTTAAAGAAACAATGATAAAATAACCATGACTTTTCTGTGATAATTCAGCAAAGTAAATTCATTAACTTGGAACACTGTGGTCAGTCTCTAACTGTTTTCTGCTGACAAGTGATGAAGTGGGGCCCTGATGCTGGCTGAACCACCACTTGGGAGAAAAGGGTTATTTATTGTATTTAGATTGTCTCTTTCCATAATTTCTAGGTGAGAATGTGAAATGTGATCCACATATGGTATGCAGCAGAAGGAGAGCTGACTTAACCTAGAAGACACAAACTGAGAAGAATCAATTAAAGATGCAAGACCCAAATACCAGCAGTAGTATAACAATTATCCCTACTGTGAGAAGACACTTCCATCATAAGAAGCCTGAAAACCAATTGCATTTACCCAGAGAGCCGAGCAAAGCCTCAATCTGTCAGCAAGGACAAGGAAAATGATGTGCTACAGGAGGTGGTCACAGAGCAACTCCAACCTGCCTTGGGTAACCAGCAAATGTGTTTCCATTGCTAATAAAAAGAAACTATTTTTCTCAAATTAAAGAAGGTGTATAATCAATAGTATTGTCATTCAATTGACTGCTTTTCTCAAATATATAAATGGGTTATTTGAAAAACAATACTTGGAGGTCCTCTTTTCTATCTGCATCCAACAATTTGCCTTACAAAAGTAAATTGAGAATGCTGTATTTTCTGCTGAATGGGTTAGATGCAAAAATGCAGGAAAAGGGGCTGGGGATTTAGCTCAGCGGCAAAAGCGCCTGCCTGGCAAGC